ATTTTATTTCTCTCAACCCTTCCTTTCAAAATTACTTTTTTTTCTCTGCAGCTTTTTTTCGAGCATTTTTGTGCACATCCTTTACTCGCGAAAAACAGCATTCCGTAGTGATATCTAGCAGAGCTATCTTTCTGTATGCATCTTAATGACGCTAAAAGAACCTGTGAGAATTTCTCTCAAATCGAGCGATAACCATGAAAATTAGTTAACGAAAGCACAATCTCTTATACACATGAGAAAGCGTTTTATACCCGCCGCCTAGCAACTTCCCAAATGTCATACATCACTAATGTTTTATCCCAAACAATAGCTTGGTCTACAAAATTGGAACAGAATTGAAGAAACGAAGGTTTTGCAATGCGAAAAACGCTCTGGGTTTTACAATCTGTTAAGCTCGTAAGAGGTTCATTGCTTTTTCTTTCTCCCGTTCGTAAAGATGCGTACCGAATTCTCTATGGGGAACTCTGAATTTCAAACGCATTTGGACTATTGCGGTTTTGTGCTAGCTTGACTAATTGCTATAATTGGTTAACCCCCATGGTAAGATTATCTACTATAATGTTTTCGCAATCCAGCAACCAGTCTCCATTTAAGTGAATTACATATCACAACTGCACAATCCTTTGGTCGGCGAAAAACACTTTTACCGTTTGGTTGGTTTTAAAAGTTATTTTCGTAAAATTAGAATAGAAAAATTGCTTTGTTCCAATAGCTAAGGATCAGTTTACACGAGTAGAAAAACAGATAAGAGTATAATAAAAGGAAAGAGTAAACAATAAGATTTTTTCAAAATATTATAAAGATTCCTTCCACAGTATTTCAAAACTCACACAAACGTTGAAAAATGTATGTTAAGATAAGCGGTCTTCCCGCTCCAACCAAAATAGCATTATCCCGAAAATTCTTGTACGGGTGAAAAGTGGCCAATATCTGCATAAATAATTTTTTAGCTGCTATTTAGCATCAAACCAGACGCCTTTAAAAATCAACGTTTTAAGCTCAACTTACTTTTTCATGCCTTCGAATGTCAAATTTTTAAACGAAAAACCTCACCAAACAGAATGATTCCCTGCTTACTATATCTTACTGCGACATGGAAGTTTTTTGAATTTTTATTTAGCTAATTTTTTGAGCTTTTACAGCTTTGACCTTTTATAAAAAAACTGAATTTTTACAACAGCTGCGAACTCAGGTTTTTCAAGTTTTAGGGTGATAGTCTTACTGTACTGCACAACATTACAGCAAAAAACAGAAACTACAAAATAAAAATAATGATATGAACCTCTAAAAACAGCTTAAATCAACAGTAAACTGCAGATAAAATCTTTCACTGCTTTTATTCTCACATTTTGGCTTATAAAGCTCATTCAAACGTTTCGTTTGAAATGTCGTTTTAGCAAGAACTGTTCTCATGTGATTCCAGTGCATGTCAACATAATTTGACCAACGTAGAGAACATAGTTATTTGCCGAGCACTGGCTTAGTTTACTTTGGTTTAAAAGAACGAATGGTCAGTATCTAACCAAAT